CATATTTGATAAAATATGAAAGTGTTCCGATTTAGTTATTTTTTTAAACACGTGCTGTAAATGAGTGAAAAAAGTACAGGTTGTTACATAAAACCTGTGCAATAAACCTTTTTACCAATTTCTGTGCAGTTTTGTGGTGCTATTTTATTCTTTTTGTGATTTAACGTGATTATAATAAAAATTTGTTTATCAAAATTTTTCTAAACCATATAATTCCGTAATTGTCTAAGGAACATGCTCATAATTTACGTTAATTTAGTGTCTACCTTTCTGGGATTTCCCGAAGCCCGGCCTAAATTTATTAGCCAACCCTACAATATTTTATAATTCTGTAGTATTTTGCGCATTTTGTAGAATTCTATGACATTCTGTGGTGACTAAGGGTGATTTTTGTAGTTGGCTGTGATTAAAAGAAATTCTGTGGTTTTCTGTAAAACACAAAAAATCACTGTCTCTGCGTATGTACGTACGTACATACGTAGCATGGAGGACATTCGTACCGTAAATTTCAGTGCAAGGTACCCTCTTGATCGGTATTCCCTTTGATTTGTACACATATATGAATTGTGTGTGCCAGGTTAGTGCTAGACTACCAATCAGATTTCAAGATCAGATATAACGTTATATGATCAGAAAAATTCAAAACAAGAGTATTTCAACTATTGGTCAAATATTATGAAGATTATTGGGAAATGTATGAACGAGCAAAGATATATAATATCATGTGTAGTTCGGCCATTTTATTAGCAGCAATAACCAATTTTTAGAGATTATATAGTACAAGAAAATATACATGATGATTTGATTTTTTTTTTTTTTTCATATATATATGTTGGTAATCTTCTTGAAATGTCTTTTTTAGGCCATCAAATGCATTGTTCATTAATTTAATAAAGGCAGAGGAAGTTTGGAAAGGTGTGAGGGGTAAAAGCATAATATTATATATCCTTGCTCGTTTATACATTTCCCAATGATCTTTATAATATTCGACCAATAGTTGAAATGTATTTTACTCGCTCCGATATATAATATCACGTGTAGACTTTGAAGCATCTTATGCTATTTGTGATGTTCTCGCTTGATTCAAGATTTGAGATGAAGTCTTGTTGTGATTCAGCATTCTCCTAACACCTCTTTGGTAGAACTTCTGATAAACATCGTAATTAGACCAATTACTCAACACTAAATATGGTGGATATATTAGCACCTGCATCTTGAGCTAAAAGAGCTGCCAGCATTCTAACATCTTTTGCTTTAACGGTTGGGTCAGCTTGTGTTAAAATATTTTTTTAACTATCTTGAAATGGTATCTGCTGAAGCCAGTCGATGGGGTATGGTAGTGGTCAAGAATAAGGAGTCTTGAGATTCTGTGGTATTTCTTCATTCGGATATTCGATCAAGTAGTTAAGCATGGCAGAGGTTAGGCAAAGTCCAGGTTTCTCGTAGTAATTAATAAAAATCTTTTTAGTTCTGTGTTTGTTGCCACCATGTGCAAGTGATATATTTACTTTTTTAGGGTTTGTAATTGTAAATGAGACTCCTGATTCTAATTTTTGGAGAGATTTTAGTTCTATCCTTTGAAAGTCGCTTGGTCTACACGCTGATTCTAGAGCAATAAAGAAAACTGTTTTGTGCAAAAGGTCTAAGATTGGCATATCGTTATTATGTTCTAAGCTAGTTAGAAAATCTAATGATGGCCCAATATTAATTACATCATTGGGAGGTGGTGGAGGAGGATTTATTTTTCGTAAAGCGATCATAAACTTTGCTATGTCCAGGTGTTTGCCTATAGGGACATTGTCAATATGATAATATACTTCGCTTATAGCCAATCTGTAAGTTGCTATTGTGTTAAATGCTTTTTTTTGATTATTCATTAAGTTTAAAAATTCAATAATATGTTCTAAAGGACAGTGTATAGGATTGGTATTTTTCTCACTATACTGGTGATCATAAATAATGCAACAAAAAAAAAAAATCATTAGATCGTATTATCTTATGCAATTCGAGACTGACCTTCATTTTTTTTTATTATTATGTTTGTAAATAGTATTTCTTTCTGCTAGTAGAATTTTATTACTCGTTA